TTTTCTTAGCTCATTTTTGCTCCATATGTGTAGTGTCATATGCACATAAAACTGTGAAAAAGTGTTTTTTTTACTTTAAATTGGAATGGAGGTAATTAATAGGACGATAAGCAATTGTATAAAATGATGCATACGACACTTATGCAATGTTCCAATTTAATGTAATGATGCAGCCATGAAAAACTCATACATTATGGGAACTTTTTTAATTTCGCCTTATGACTTCATAGTAAATTAAGACCCATATCAGGAGTTAATGGGGTTAATGTATTTGTTTTATTTAATTTTATCTTATCAATTTTAAATCTATCACAATGATAATTCTTAATGAGCACCTGATGATCTTCCTCTGTCCTGTAACAAAAACACCAACTATATTTCCACCGTATGCAACCACTAAGTGACTATGTCTTTTGCCTCTGCAACAGATCATCCTCAAGTAACCACCAGGAACAGAAGTCAGTGCCATGTTGCTGCTGTTAAAGACCCCAAACAACTGCTCTGTAAATACTCTGTTAACACAACACACAACCTACAACAAGCTGCATGCTGATATGAAGTTGTAGACACTACTTTGATCTCTCATAATAAATTACATAGCTCAATTACTACAATTATACAATGCTAGATAAGTGTCACAGAAGATTATTGTATGTACGCGCCTTTGCACCTGCATTAACATGCGTCCTCAGTTATGTGCATAATATCTGGGTTTGTATTTCCTTAACCCCTGACAAGGTCAGAGATGCATTTAGCCTCTTACATATAGGAACCTCATACATATAAACTAACTTTTCTGGACAAATTCAACCAGGAAACACATTTGCAGTGCAGATATAGTAGTAACACCTTAATACTAACTCATATGGAAACAAACAGAAATGTCATTCACTGACAGTTTTAAATTGTGTAAATATTTCCAGAGGAGGAGATGAGCATGACAGATGTAATCTGAAATCAGCTTTCAGTGTGTAGACAGTACATGTTAATACCAGGTGTAAAGGGTTCCTTTATTGGAGATTGTTCAAATGTTATCGTGATACTGACCAACAGCTTTTCCTTCTTGAATGTGTTATGTAAACCAATAGAAAGGTTTTTTCACATTAATGCTTGTTTAATAAGTGCCAGATTATTTTAAACAAACTAGTAAAAATGCACTTACTTTAACTTTAAACTCCACAATGTAAAAATGATGGAAGCTCCTTTAAGATGTTCTCAGGGTAGTCCATCTACATTGTTTACCCTGTCATCCCCAGAGAACAGGATCAGTGCTCCACCTCGTGGTGTACCTTTGCATCGCATATACTGTACAGTAGCCTATGTTTGCTGAGAGAAAATACTGTACAATCCATTTGCTCTTCAAGGCAGTGAAACAACAATGATTCAAACAGTTAAATTGCGCCTTTTTTATTATAAAAAAAAAAATTATATATATATAAGATTATCTGACACTTTCTGTCAGTGGGTTTCCTGTAAGTGGTTTACCCTTCAGGGGCCAGTTTCACAAAGATATACTTTTACTTACTTTACTTAAATAGGTCTAATGGCTAATAGAGTAAACACATTAAACAGCTCAGCAGTTACATTTTACTCTAAAAATCCGGCGAAACAACACAAAAAACGTCCAATAGTATAAAATTTCAGCACAGTGCAGACGTGTATCAGCCCTGAGATGTGGATTCTAATGTGGGCTCACTGCTCATATTTCCAACAGGCTACTTTGATCTCTAAAAACTCTTTCACCTCTCATTACTCGCTCCACAATCTTAGAAAACCACAAATTATGAGTCTTTTTTTATTATTAGTAGTATTTGTTTGGTGAAACTGGACAGCAGGGGTCACAGACTGTTACCATGGAAACATATTTGTTCTGAGTTAGTCACGGGGGGTAAGGTGGTGCTCAAAATAAGTCTCTTTGTTGAAGAGACTCCAGTATGAGAGTGGATGTGATCATCAGTGTATCCCGCCACCTACAGTCTGTTTGTTTTTTCTCGAAACAGCCTAACCTGCATTAGACTCATCTAACAGCTAAATAAAGACTGGACTAACACTACAGATCAGTCTGAAATATCTTTGTGAAACCACAGGCCAAGATCAGGCAAATCATCTCTTTTAAGAAGACCCTCCATGGAAGTTAGCTCAATAAAATGGTGTAAAATTACTACTGCTCAAATTCAGACTAAGGTTCTTGTAACCCTCTAAGGGTTGAGCAGTGTGTGAACTATTAGTCTTAATGTTACCGTCAGTTGTCAGTACTGTATTGTTTGAATGTTACAAGTGCCTAAAGAGTTGCGCGGATGTGGATATCCATGCATATTTAAAAGGCTTTTGTGTGAAAAATCACTCAATTAAATCTACTTTACCTAAGTCACATGTAGAAAGAGCTGTTTTGAAATGCCATGTCAGTGCATTAGTATTTTGTTTATGCCTGCTTAGATTTTAGACTTACATTTAATTTTCACCGATGCTCACACTCATGTGTGTACTATGTATAAGAGTTGATATACATCTTAATTTTATTTTGTTTCTCTTTTAAGACGATTAAGTGTATGGCAATGTTTCCTGATTAGTTTTATGCACAGTACAATACTTTGTGTAGTAAAGTAGAATTTAAGGAGGTAGGCTTTTTTGTGAGGCTTAGTTGTTTGTGTGGTACCACATTATGCAATTACCCATAATTGTTTGAAACTTTCAGCAGAGTGGGTATTGTGTCTGGTTAAGGAAAAAAACAGTTTCCACTCATATGTAATGCTCTCTTGAACATGTTTCATGTTAATTTTAGTTCCCTGTTTTGCAAACAGTGTGTGCAAATATCAACCTTTCCTTTAATGTTTCCAATGTCTTTTCAAGTGACTGAATACGTGTGTACACTTGTGTGCGATTAACTCGGACAATCCACCAAGAGATATTGCATTTTGTTCAGAAATTTTTCTTTATGTAATTTCCTTGTGGAAACTTTTACACATTATTGGATGGAATATAAGGAGTATACGTTAATATTTTACTGTTTAACATTAGAAAAGAACACTTTTAAAATGTATTCTCTTCTATTTTATGATGAATGTAATTTATTAAACTGACTTTAGCTCTGCTGGAGGTTCCTCAAAGGGCCTTGATCTGTTGTATTAGCCTATGAAAAGCCGTCTTGTGGGCAGGGATTGAATGTTGAAGTAAAGAGACGCTTTAAACACTTAATCCTTGTCACTGCCTTGTCACCTGTAAGGGACAGCGAACCTTTGTATGAGCAAGGCCATAGAATTGCTTTTTATGTACAAAAGTGCATTGTACAGGTTCACATTTTCCGAAAAAAGTTACCTTTCATAATAGTGTAATAATAGTTAGTCATTGAATTGTTTTGATGTGTTGCTGAGGCAATCTGAAGTTGCAGTGATTAAAAACTGTATTTTTGTAGGTGATGAAATTGTTTTTCCTCCTCACAATAACACATTAGATTGTACTGTCAGATATTTTACTTTACTATGCCATGGTGTGAAACACTGTAAGTGATCCTGTGCATAAAAAAATATTTTGCAATGTGAATTTTGTGTTTTATATGGTTTCCACTGCATGTTAACATCTTGCAGCAAAAAATATAACCCCCCCTCGGAGAGTGCTGAACTCCTGCGGACACAAGTCGGGAAGTCGGGAGTTGATGGTCCAGTGACTTTTTAAACCTTGATCAGAATATGACTGCTTTCAAAGTTTAGCTTGTTATTAGATATATGACATTTTTTCCCCCTTATTTATTTTACCTTCAAATTAAAGGCATATAATCGAATGTTTGTTTCACCTTCTGGCAAAAAGCTTGAATGTCGTGGATACACCTGCACATGGAGGCTGTTGATTTTGATCATCCAGTCAAAGATATGGACAGTAAGAATGTTTGGTCTGACTGACTGATGGAAACATTTCTCTTAAGCACTTTCTCGACAGTCAGATCGGCTGAGAAGATGTGCTGCTTTTTGTGAACTTTGCCTTATCTTTTATCTATTGCTAAGTTTGTATTTGTTCAGTAATTATGAATTCCATATTGCTTAATAAATAAAACACATTTCACTTTTCTGTGAAATTATTGCTACATGAGTTTTTAGTTTGAGGCCAAAATGACATTAAAATAAACCCCAAAACACACTCCTGAGGAAAGGCTTGTGTACCAGTGCCATTTGGTTCCATCCTGGCCTCAATATAAACTTATCTGTCAAACTTACTTCGTTTGTGCACAATTAAACATTTCATGTGATAGTTTTTTTGTTCCTGTAAATTCCAAATTGTGTAAAATCTAATATTGCAAATAAATAAATGTCAAGTAAATGCCATTGGTGTGAGCTCTGTTGTTTGACTTACATATACTATACATTTATTTTCCATCAATTTAATATCATTCTAAGACCCTAGAATTAAGGATCAGCAAGTTTTATTGATTCTGTTAGTTAGGCTAAAAACTCAATTCACAAATAAAATGATCTCTTTCAGTGCACAGTAGAGAAAGCTGGATTGGTCTCCCCTAAGGAAAATCAGACAATATCTTATAAGTTTTACTGTAAGTCTCTCAAATGTAATGATCTTCAATAGCAAACGGTTGCCTTTGGTAATGCAGCCTGCACTGCTACAGATCAATAAGTATTTATCCCATCTCTCGACTTTATACGGTCAAGCAGCGTTTTATTCATTCATTTATTTATTTTACAGCATTCTCAAATTTTTGCACGGCAGCAACAAAAATGCAGCGTTACCATAGCAACAGCATCCGGTGCATTTTCCTCCTCCTGGATACACATCCCCGAGCCGGCCCTGTGATTGGAGGAGCTCTCTTTTGATGTCACCGGGGCAACCGAATGATGGGAATTTTAACACATGAACGGAAACGTAACCGCCGCATCTGACTGGCTGCCTCGCGCGCGGCTCCCATTCAGGCGCGTGTGAGGTTTCCAGCCAGCGGACGCCGTCGTTGGACCGTCTGCACATCCGTCTGAGAGGAGGGAGGATCCTTTTTTTTCCTCTTTTTTTTTTCTTCCTCTTTGCTCTCGGTACGGGAGCCGAGCGGGGACCAGCTGGTTTACGCGGCGGCCGTGGGTCTCCACCCGAGAGTATGGCGGCTGGGATCGCACTGGAGAGCGAGGGAGAGACGGAGACTCGCCAGAGATGCTGAAAAAGAAACAAAGAGACGCAAGTTGTTTTAATTAAGTACCCAAACAGTTTGAGTTGCTGCCGCTCCAACCGAGGCGGCCTCGGGCGAGAACGATCTGCGCCTGCACTTCATTCTGGAGGCGAGAGCCAGCGTTTTTCCCAGCGTCCTCGATGGAGCAAGTTTGTTTTTTTAGGATGCACAGAGAGGGGTGAGCTAAGCAGATGAGAACCCCGCACGGTCCACATCATCGGGCGATATTTTCTTCCTCCTCCCCCCCTCCTGTGCACGTTTTGGACAATTTGCCAGTCCTCGGACGCCCGTGTAGCTGTCAGTGTCTGGCCTGCGTGGGGGAAATTTCTACAATGAAATCCATCTTGGGGCAGCGAGTCTTTGTGCTCTGCCATAGCTGAGCAGCGGCGAGCGAGACTGTGTTATTGACAACCCGTTCAAAATGGGACACGACTGGTGAACGGGATTTTGAGTTCATTTCAATGACGCGCGGAGACTGATACCTTACGACTTGATTTAATCCACGATGCGCGAGTATAAAGTGGTGGTCCTGGGCAGCGGTGGGGTCGGGAAATCCGCCCTCACTGTGCAGTTTGTCACCGGGACGTTCATTGAGAAGTACGACCCCACGATAGAGGATTTTTACCGCAAGGAGATCGAGGTGGACTCCTCGCCCTCGGTGCTGGAGATCCTTGACACCGCCGGTACCGAGCAGTTCGCCTCCATGCGGGACCTTTACATCAAAAACGGCCAAGGATTCATTCTGGTCTACAGCCTCGTCAACCAGCAGAGCTTCCAGGACATAAAGCCGATGAGGGATCAGATCATAAGAGTGAAAAGGTTGGTGAAATGATGCGCAAAAAGGGGGGCGGGGGGGGGGGAAA